GCTGTTATCGGCAAACCACACATAATGTGAAAGTCTTCAAGGGTGAAGGAAACATCATGCCCAAATATCTTGAAACTAATAGAGTCTCGATCATTCGTGAATATTCGAGAAAGACACATACAATGAACCAACTTCATGCTACATTTGATATTCTCCATAGCAATAATGTGTTTAAATGGACCATTACTAAGCTTAGCCTGTTGTGCAGGAGTCAAGAAAGATGCAATTAAACTCTTCAAATCATGGTTCCCCTTCCAGTAACCCTTAGAGTTAAACCATTCTGTAAACTCAAAATATCTTTGTCCTGGTTTTGTGGTAGAGGCTGAGGGACATAAGGACCTGGGATTACTACAGGTAGTCTAGGTTTTTTAGGTGCTTTGCCTTCTTTAGCTACTTTAGGATCTTTAGGTGCTTTAGGAGCCATCTGTCAAAAAAAAGTAAAAGATACAAATAATAACATCAGGACATTATCAAAAAGATCATTTAAAACTTCAACACCTAAGAAGGCTTAAGTTCGACAGGTATTAAACAAAAACTTTAGCTGAAGGTTTTAATTTATTACTTAAAACTTCAGAAGGAGCCTGGCTAAATTAAAAAATGATATTGCACTAAAAAAACTTTGGCCAAGCAGCTGAAGTTTTTTTGTTATTACTTAAAACTTCAGAAGGAGCCTGGCTAAATTAAAAAAAGATACTATTGTACACTAAAAACTTACGGTACCTAAAGACAGCTGAAGTACTTTTTAGTTATTACTCAAAACTTACAGTAGNAAAAACTTCAGAAGGAGCTTGAAGTCTTCCTCCTACACTGGTTAAATTAAAAATTGATATTGCACTAAAAAAACTTCGGCCAAGCAGCTGAAGTTTTTTTGTTATTACTCAAAAACTTCAGCAGGAGGCTGAAGTTTTCCACATACACTGGCTAAATTAAAAAATGATATTGCACTAAAAAAACTTCGGCCAAGCAGCTGAAGTTTTTTTGTTATTACTCAAAAACTTCAGCAGGAGGCTGAAGTTTTCCACATACACTGGCTAAATTAAAAAAATGATATTGCACTAAAAAAACTTCGGCCAAGAGCTGAAGTTTTTTTTTTATTACTTAAAACTTCAGAAGGATACACTGGCTAAATTAAAAAAAAGATATTGCACTAAAAAAACTTCGGCCAAGCAGCTGAAGTTTTTTTGTTATTACTCAAAAACTTCAGCAGGAAGCTGAAGTTTTCCACATACACTGGCTAAATTAAAAAAATCATATTGCACTAAAAAAACTTCGGCCTAACAGCTGAAGTTTTTAATTTATTACTTAAAAACTTCAGAAGGAGCCTGAAGTTTTCCTCCTACACTGGTTAAATTAAAAATTGATATTGCACTAAAAAAACTTCGGCCAAGCAGCTGAAGTTTTTTTGTTATTACTCAAAAACTTCAGCAGGAGGCTGAAGTTTTCCACATACACTGGCTAAATTAAAAAAATCATATTGCACTAAAAAAACTTCGGCCTAACAGCTGAAGTTTTTTATTTATTACTTAAAAACTTCAGAAGGAGCCTGAAGTTTTCCTCCTACACTGGTTAAATTAAAAATTGATATTGCACTAAAAAAACTTCGGCCAAGCAGCTGAAGTTTTTTTGTTATTACTCAAAAACTTCAGCAGGAGGCTGAAGTTTTCCACATACACTGGCTAAATTAAAAAATTATATTGCACTAAAAACTTCGGCAAGCACAAAACATTCAGCAAAAAAAACAAAACACAAATTCAAATCCAAAAATAATGCCAAAACATGAAAAAAACTTCAGCTCCTATCCTAAAGTATCATTATCATCCGTTTAACTCTGAAAATTTTTAAAAATTTGAACGTTGAATCACAAAAGAATTTATAGAAATTACATTAACAACATGAACAACCTATCAAACTAAAGCCTATCATAAATACATGAATATCAAAACCCAAAACCAGAAATTAAATCATAAAACAAAACCCAGAAAGTTAATGCAATGTACCTGTGATTAAATCGTAATATGGTAACAACGATGACTAGCAGTTGAAAATTCGAAAGAACGACGAAAACTGTTTGATTTCTGAGAAGAGCAAATCAAAAAACGCGAATAACGGGAGAGAGAAACAGTAGAGCACTAGCGTATACTTGGAGAGAAAGTAGTCTTTTAACAAAAAAGGGTAAAATAGTCTTTTCAAATGGCTTTTAACAAAAAAGTGGATATGGGTACAAACAGAAAGACAAAGCGGGTACAGGTTAAAAGGGGGCGCCCAAATAGGGCGCCCACTGCAATTTTTACTTATAAGTTTGTTGCCTCATACATGGGCCTTAGATTTACAATAGAAATGGTTTAGTTGGTCGAATCCCCAATCATGTATGGGCTGTTTCAAGAGAAGAATTTGTTCAAAACTGGGAAAAAGATATAGAGGGTGTTTGACTAAGTTTATAAGCTGGTCAAACTAGCTTATAAGCACTTTTCGGCTTATCTACGCGTTTGGTAAAGTTAAAAGTGCTTATAAGCCAAAAATAAGCCAAAAGCCATAAGCTGGTCACCCCCAGCTTATGAATTTTTAGCTTATAAGCACTTTAAGTTTGACCAAGATTTTTATTATTTTATCCTTAAAATATTTCTTTCTAAAACAAAACTCCTACGTCCACACTCACGCCTCAAGTATTTAACTTAACCCCCTTCCCTCCCTCCCTCCCCCCCCTCCCCTCCCTCTTCAAGTCTGCGATTCTCATTGACTATTTAAGATAAGCAAATTCTCTATTCCTTTGCATACTTATATCTATGTGATTGTGTATTAATCTTTGAACTGTATGTAATTAATGAGGACATATCAAATTTTTGGTGTATTGCTTTCTAAGTGTTATGATGATGAAGACAATGTTTATTTCTCTTCAAATAGTTTGTCCTATTTAGGTTTATTTTTTACTGAGAAATTTTTGTCGATTTATTAATTATTATAACTTATGATTATATGCTTATCATAAAATAAATTATATTTATCATAAAAACTATCTTATCTAAGCACAGTTGTATTTAAAATAAAATGACAAATAGAATATTTTGTATTTGAATCGATCTGGAATCTAAAATTTTGAAGAAATTACGCCCTTATAAGTGTAAACAGTTCTAAGGTTATTTAAGTCATTTTAACAGAAAAAGAGCTTGTCAGCACTTTTTAATCAACTAGTTTTAGGGTACGCGCGATGCGCGAGAATCCTGTCTTAATGAGTATAAATTTAAAAAAAAATTTGGATAAAATAAAAGTGTAAGTTCCTAAAGATGATCATGAATATTGGTTGTGTATAACTAACTCAATAATTAAAGAAACTATCTCAGAAGTCCTCAATCATCAATAATTCAACTTAAGATTTGTTCCAAGTTTGTAATTTCATAATTTCAGTTTCGCAGCCAAGAACCTTGAAAATGTAAATAATCTTGAAGGATACAACTTATAATATATAAGTAGAGAACTAATAATTTACGATCTTTAGATAACACAAAATCAAAGTGCAATAAAAAAAAAGACATTAAAAAAAACAAGCTAGTAAGAGAATCTACAATTGAAAGCTAGCTGATAAACCGGCTCATATTTAGCTAAATATATCATGGATTAATAATTAAGAAATCTTGTTAATTTGTGCATTTAAAACTTTTGAAAGTTTAAAGTATAATATTGAATAAAATTATTGGTGCATTAGTCTTGTATACTTTTATAAAGTGAAACTATCTACGTTATTGTCCAAGAACCTGTACTTCTTCTTTCTCAAATCTTTTTATTCTTCTTTTATCTATTTTTAAAAATTATTTATATCTAATTTACGTGCAAGACCTATACGAAGTGATATTTTAATAATCTCTATATATTATAACTTTCTACATGGTTCGAATAAGAAAATAAATTGATACGCAAAATTTTAATTAATTTTAAGCTCTTAAATATTAAAATAATAATTAAATAACTATTAAATCAACAAAAGTAAGTTGTAGAATTTTCAACAAAGGTAACCCATGAACACGTTTTCTTATTTAATTAACATGTTACGGTGAAAGCTAAAATTTAAGACTTTCTTATTTAGTTCAATAAGGAAATATTTAATAACCAAAATTTTAGGTGATTTAAATTTTCTAAATATTAGGAAAGTAACTTAAATTACAATAGTGTCCAACGTGAAATTTATTTTTAGAGGGTAAAAAAGACGAACGATATTTCGCTAAGGGTCTTCGTGCTTTTAATATAGTATAGATTACTGCAGCAACTTATTATCAATTTCAGCACTTGTACGGTTGTACCCAAACACGTAACTGCTTATTTATTAAATCAGTTTCAGCACTTAAAAGTACTTTTCAACACCTAATGTTTATCAGCTACTTTAAATCACCTAATCCAAACGGGCTCACAGTGGATAGGCAATTTTCATCACTAAAGTAGATAACAGTACTACCACAAACATGCTATTCTATTTTTTTTATTTTTAGTTTTTTGCTCTTAGATTTTGTAAAAAAAGAATATTTTAAAAGGAAAAGCATCCCCACTAACAGTTCAAGAACATGAAACTACTGCAAAGAAAAAGAGAAAAAGTGAAAGGTTCAAAAAACAAACCCTCATAAAGATTCTCCTCAATCATCGATAAACACTTCCCCAACAGTCTTTCTTGAACTAGAGAAAATTTGGAATAGAAATCAATCTCAACACCTTCTAGCAATTCCCTGATGGCCCTTTCAATAACAAATAGATTAACATCATCTTATTTTTCAACTTTCCCATGTTCCTTTTCTGTGTCCATATTTATAATTCTATTTATACTTCCATTTCTCATTCCAACACAAGCTCAATCAAGACTCTGCAGAAAATCTTGTGGTGGCATTCCAATTCAATACCCTTTTGGCTTAGATGATGGATGTGGCAGTCCATATTACAGGCATATTCTTGTTTGTACAGCAGATATGCTTGAGTTTAGAACACCTTCAGGCAGATACGCTGTTAAAAATATAAACTATTCAGATCCTCACATTCTTGTCACTGACCCCTTTATGTGGAATTGCCTAGACGGCGATAATTTTCGCCCGACAAGGCCATTTAGCCTAGATACTAGCACACATTTCACTCTATCACCTCAAAATGATTACCTTTTTTTCAACTGTAGTGAAAAAGATGTGATCATTGAGCGAAAACCAACTTTCTGTGAGCGTTTTCCTGAACAGTGTGATTCGACCTGTGATAGTTCGAGTTATCTTTGTAGGCACTTACCTGAATGTGCTAATGGATTGAGGAGTAGCTCTTGTTGTTCTTACTATCCTAAAGCTACAGAGTCTTTGAGACTTATGTTGAAGCATTGTGCAACTTATACTAGTGTGTATTGGAGAAATCTTGGTGTAACTCCGGCTTTTAATGAGGTCCCTGAGTATGGGATTAGAGTTGGTTTTGATATTCCAGTGACTACGCGATGCCTCAAGTGTCAAGATTCTGATAAGGGAGATGGCATATGTGGGTTTCATACAGAGAGACTCAATTTTTTGTGCCTGTGTAACAAAGGAAACAGTACAACCAACTGTAATGGTAAGCAAATGTGAATAGTAACTACTAACTAGGTCCAATTTAGTCATGTTCTAATGTTCCAAGCGAACACTGCCTGTTTTTTATTATTTCAAAGGATAGGATACACTGGACATTCAATCAAAGCCTCTTCTTTGATGAATGAATGCATTTCTTTAATCCCATAGTTATTAATGCCCGAATTCTTTCTTCTGTATCAAGGATGTAATCATTGGTTATCCTGAGATGTCTCAATTTTTGAGAGTAAAGATATTAATGACAAGAAAGACTTTTTTATGTTATATATTTTTTCAATCTTTCCCCTACTTGTGGCATAGTTTCTTGATATTTGAACGAGAAATGAATGACGAGTTCCCTTTGAAATTAGATATGTTAAAGTCAATACTGATTCATCCTCAATGTACTGTGCAGATAGTGAAAATTCGCACAGGAAGCCTGGAGTTGTTGCAGGTAATTATTGCTTATTGATTGATCAGTGCTCTATTAATTGGTTACTGTTTTAATAGCTTGCAACTTTACACCCTCCTTGTACTTTTTCATTAAGATTTCTTTAGTGATACATATGTTTGAAATGTTGCAGGGACTGCAACTGCAGTATCAGTTGCAGGGGCATTTGGAATTGGAGTTGGTGTATGGTACTTGAAGAAAGTGAGAGCAAAAGCACCAGTAACTCATGGAGTTCAAAGCAATGAGAACAGACTATTCTGAGTTCACTTTGAATTTGGAAATGGAAGAAAAGACAGACATAAAGAAATAGTATGCAAATATAGTGAATATGATTGAACTTGCTATTCTATGTTCCAAAATCAGCATATTTTGTGAGTCCATGATTTGATACTCAAACTCCATTTCCTTTGTGAATCTAAAGTCTCTATCTCTTTAAGTGTGGCTTCCAAGATTACATTCCAAAATCCCGTGCAGTTAGTTGCTTGTACGGTAAATTTCACAAATGGTCATATAACTACGACCTTTTTGTTAGCAAAGTCATATAACTTTGTTTTCTCACACAAAAGTCATAAAACTTTCACTACTTCACTCAAAAAATCATTGATACCGGAAAGACAATTCTCCGGTAATTTTTTCTTATTCTACCCTTTCTTTTATTTTTTAAAATTTAGTTTAATAAATTATGACTCAATTAAAATATGCATGACCCAATACGACCCGACCGATGTCCATATCCACAAATTAAATCATTCCCCCAAAATAAGATACTTCTCAATACCGACAAACTATACAGCTTAATTACCATGATATATTCTTTTCAGTTATTCGCTTATTCACCTCCCTCCTTGGGTAAGTATCTTAGTTGTGATAATAGGTAGGTGGTTCATAGATCCCATGACTATCCTGTCACAATTTCTTTAATTCTAAGGAAGTACCTAACAATGAAAATCTTAAACTAAAACATTCCTGGAACTAAGAACTACTTTTGCAGGAGAACGAGCAACATCACTAAACAAAATATTGCTTACTAAGCAATACAGCAAATAAAATGTGCATCAACCAAAAGATAAAAGCAGACACAATATGTTGTGCCATTTTAAGTGTATGCCATTTACGAAAGAAAAGAAATTTTAGACAAAGATCCCTATTTTGTCTTTGAGAGTCTGCACTTCTTCTTCACCACAACTTGCACATACTCTTGCACAACTTTCTTTTTGACTTCCCTGCCTCTTTTTGATACTTTACAGCTTCAGTGGCATCTTGCACAACTTTATGACCATGTACAGCTCTCCCGACAATATCTTGTTCGACAACATCCTATAAAACAATACAACACCATGAGAAAAAATAAAACTAGCATATATAAAGGACCATGAAAGGTTTGAAACTATTTTACCTCTATAGTTGATTGATTTGTTAAGATGCAGTCTACATCTGTGACGACCCAAAGGGTCATCACCTGTTTTCTCCTTTTTTCCGTGCTTCCGAGGCCTTGAAAACCTCACTTTTAGTTGCCTCGATTTGCGTGCGCAGTCCGGGCGCGTAGCCGGAAAGCTTATATGTTAAATTCTGTGAAAGTTGCAAAAATTTGGCTTTAAAATGATTAAAGTTGACTTTGGTCAACATTTTGGGTAAAAGGACCTGGACCCATAATGTGACGGTCCCGGAGGGTCCGTAGAAAAATATGAGACTCGGGCATATGCCCGGAATCGAAATCCGAGGTCCCGAACCCGAGAAATGAATTTTTAAAAGAAATTGTTTTTCTGAAATGAATATGAAAATTTGAAATGAAAATAGATTAGAAAGTATTGGTATCGGGCCCGTATTTTGGTTCCGGCGCCCGGTACAGGTCTTATATGTGGTTTAAGCGCTTTTTGTGAAATTTGGTTGAAATCGGACGTCGTTTGACGTGTTTCGGACCAAAATATCTAAAATTTGAAGTTTAAGAAGTTAGAATGAAAAGTGATGATTTTGAGGTTTGATTCATTGATTTTGATGTTATTTGGCGATTTGATCGCACGGTTAAGTTCGTAGGATGTTGTTGAGTTAGTGTATGTATTTGGTTAGGAGCCCCGAGGGCTCGGGAGTGTTTTGGAGGTGTTTCGGGTTTGTTTAAACTTAGGAAAAATTGCAGAAAGTCCAATTCTGGTGTTCTGGCATGTTGTTCTATGCGATCGCATAGGAGCATACGCGATCGCATAGTGTAAGTCTCAGGTGCCCCGTCTTTGTTCTATGCGATCGCAAGAGTTCATCCGCGATCGCGTAGCTTAGCCCCATTCCTTCAATGCGATCGCATTCTCCTCTACGCGATCCCGGTGTATAAAGCCAGCTTTCATTATTTTCCTTCTATGCGATCGCGTGTTACTGTCCGCGATCGCAGTGCTCAGAAACTCTACTCTATGCGATCGCAACCTTATGTACGCGATCGCAGTGCACAGCAGGCCTTACCCTATGCGATCGCAATCTCCTTCCCGCGATCGCGATGAACAAATTCGCCCAGTTATTTTAATTCTTCAAAACAGAATGCAAACGGGATTTTCATAACACTTCTCAAACTCTTTCTTCTCCAAAGTTCTAGGGCGACCATTGAAGCATCCTTTCACCATTAACTCTTGGGTTAGTAATTTTTAACTCGTTTTCTTCATTTTCCATCAACATCTATTGAATTCCTAGACCTAAAACATGTGATTAGGCGTAGAAATGGGGGATTTGAGTTAGAATAAGGCTTTTTGATTTTTTCTTGATCTAGACCTCGTTTTGGGGTCGAATTTGAAAACAAATTATATATTCGGGCTCGTGGGTGAATGGTGATATGAATTGTCCGAACCTCGTGTTTGACCAAGCGGCCCAGGCGATTTTTGGGATTTTGGGAAGAAAGCTTGGAAATCTATAATTAGCCATTGGGTTTGATTTGTTTAGCATATATTGAAACTATGAAGTCATTATTGTATAGATTTGATTGAATTGGAGCGAATTCGAGATGGAAAGCGGTTGTGGTGGATTGATTTGGCCGTGGAAGTTGAGGTAAGTGTTTGGTCTAACCTTAGCTTGAGGGAATAGGAGTTGAGTCTTATTTGCTACTTGCTAATTATCGAGTACGATGTATAGGCATGGTGACGAGTATCTATACATTGGTGTCTAGCATGACCGTGAGTCCTATATTGTGATTTCCATGACTTTGTTGTATTATTCATGGCTTGGTGATTATTTCTATTTGTTGTGCAAAGATGTGGAAAGAATCGTGACTTATGGATATTGAGGAGCGTTGGCTCCAGTTGTATAGCGAATTGCGAAAGTATATGTGATAATTGAACCTCTAGAGCATTGGCTCGAGTTGTAAAGTGAATTGTGAAGTAAAAGTGAGGAGAGAAAAGATCATTATGCTGTCCTTGGCGGGCTATTGTTGAGTTGTGGTTCCCTTGTACTGTGTAGGTTAATACTTCCTTGTGTTGAGTGATGACTACAGTTATAGCTGAGGTAGTTAAGTGTTGTCATAGGTTGGTTATAGCTGAGGTAGTTAAGTGTTGTCATAGGTTGGTCATAGCTGAGGTAGTTAAGTGTTGTAACAGGATTGATTATAGTTGTGGCATTTAGACGTTGTAACAGGATCGGTTATAGCTGCGGTAGTTAGATGTTGGGCCCGGTGCGGTTATAGATGTTTCTCCCTTGCCGGGACATTTGATTTGATATTTTGCTCCCTTGCCGGGAAGTTATTATGTTGTTGTTACCTTGCCAGGAAGTTATACATTGTTGTCCCCCAGCCGGGATTATTTTGTTATATTGTGATTGATGAAATGGGAGCGGGTGGTACGCCTACCACAAGATTGATGAAATGGGAGCGTGTGGTACGCCTACCACGTAGTATTATGAAATGGGATCGTGTGGCACGCCGACTACTTATATATTATGAAACGGGATCGTGTGGCACGCCGACCACTTATATATTATGAAATGGGATCGTGTGGCACGCCGACCACTTATATATTATGAAATGGGATCGTGTGGCACGCCGACCACTTATATATTATGAAATGGGATCGTGTGGCACGCCGACCACTTATATATATATTATGAAATGGGATCGTGTGGCACGCCGACCACTTATTCTGCGTTAGAAGAATTTAGTTGTAGTTTCCTTATTTATCCCTGCTATTCTGTTTATCTGCTACCCCCAACAGCATGTTCCCCTCCCAGTCTCAATTATTAATTTCCGCTGTTATTTTGTTGTACTTGTATATATAGATATATCTGCACAGGTTTGTTTGGTAGTCTTGTCTAGCCTCGTCACTACTTCGCCGGGGTTAGGCCAGGCACTTACCAGCACATGGGGTCGGTTGTGCTGATGCTACACTCTGTGCATCTTTTTGCATAGATCACAGCGCCGGAGCAACAGCTTTTGGACAGCAATAGTTGATTGGGAGTTGAATTCAGTCCAGGGACATTTGAGGTAGCCTTGCTGACGTCCGCAGGCCCGGAGTCCCTTTCTATTTTATTCAGTTTGTTATCATTTGTACCAAAGCAGATAGTTTTATGTTTCATTCAAACCTTGTATTTAGTATTCTCTAGAGGTTCGTGAGTATTGTGACACCAGTCTTGGGTAGAGGATCTTGTTAAACTTCCGCATTTTTCTTTCAGTTAATTACTATTTGAGACTTCCGCTTTATCATATCAAGTTTTGTTTTTATTAAATGATCAATAATTGCTAAAAGAAGTAAATTAACTTGGCTTGCCTAGCTCCCATTAGTAGGCGCCATCACGACTCCCGAGGGTGGAAAATCCGGGTCGTGACAACATCTATCCTTTCTGCATTTTCAGGTTGTTGAATGAAACCTTGAGTACCCCACACCTCTGGATAATAAATATTTGAGTAGCCCTAGATATCACCTACAGGTTCTTCTTAGTTTTGATTTGGAGTAGGGTCTTCGTTTTAGGTTGGAGCAGGGTCATGATTTGGATTTGGAAAAGGCGATTGTTGGTTTAGAAAGCTAGAGAAAGTTGTTTTTGCATATTTACTGTGGCCTCTAGCATTATGCCCAACCACTTTGCAAATAGAGCAGCTAATTTGTGTGGTACCCTTCTTAGATATTCGTTGAGGTTTCTTGTCTCAGCCCTCTTTTACTTTGTACTCTGAGCTGCAACTGTTGAAATTCGAATGCATTCACAGAGCCAATGCAGCGGAATATTAATCAGCCATGGTTGTTCAAGTAATGTGGGGAATTGTCTTGGAATAACTTTGACAAAAAATCTAGAGCCTTCTAGTCTGAGCCTATCGTAGGATGCCAGACTGATGGAGTCACAGACGTACTAATAGGTAGGCTAGGGACTCTTAGGCAAATACTTTAGCCCTAGGAACTTCTTCATAAATTATAATTACCCTAGGAATTCCTAATATATGGTAATTTCTTTCCATCGAAGAAACTACCATATATGAATAAC